TAAACCCCTTCCTGTGGGCAGGTAAAGGGTCAGATATGAAAAAAAATATATACCAAATGATAGGTAAAGACATCATGCATCTATAAAAAAAAAATTATATTGATCCATACATCTTTCAAAAAGTTATAGCATTATAAAGTTAAAAATATAAAAAAGAATTTTTTTACAAAAATCGTATTTTTTTTATTAAGTTTAATGTCTGTTTTCACCATGAAGATAAAATAAAGTCCGAAATTTTTTTTTACCATTATAAAGTATATTACATTAGCTTTAATTTAAGATATATATAAAAGTGTCAGACCTTCCGGAACACTTTCAAAAGTTAAGTTGAAAAAGTTCTACTTTCTATATGCATTTTTATGTTTTGAATCCCCCCTGTATTTAGGGAAATGGTCCGATTTAAAAAAACAGTATGTCGAATGAAAGATCTATATAAATACTACTTCTCATAAAAAAATTGTAATGATTCATACATTTTTCAAAAAGTTATAGCATAATAAAGTTAAAAATGGAAAATACAAAATCGAAAATTTTCACACAAAAATAGCATTCGGTAGCCATTTTCACCATGAAGATAAGATAAAGTCCGAAATTTTTTTTTTTCATGATAAAGCATATTACATTAGCTTTAATTTAAGATATATATAAAAGTGTCAGACCTTCCGGAACATTTTCAAAATTTAAGTTAAAAAAATTAATTTTTTGTGAAAAAGTTGTCATTTTAAATCCCCCCTTGTGGGCAGATTAAGGGTTAATGATATTATGCATCTATGTAAAAAAAAATTATATTGATATGTTTATTTTTGAAAAAGTTATAGCACTTTTAAATAAAAAAAATTGAAAAAATTTCGAAAATTAGCGATTTTTAAATTCGTAATTTTTTTGGAGGTTTCCCCCATTTACGGGAAACGAGGGAATTTTTTTCAATTTTTGAGGGTAATGTCTTCGACTAGATACAATTTGTGATCTTTTGACGTATCATTGAAAGAAATCGGTTCGGTGAGAGCTGAGAAAAAGTGGTAACAGACACAAAAAAAAAAAAACACATCTTAGTAAAACCAATACCTTCTCAGCTTCGCATCGAAGCTAAAATATCAAATGCAATGCTTTTAAAAATTAAAATGGAAATTTGTATTCTATTTTTAAGAAATCAATCAATACAAACTCATCCTCAACCTTCAAGTACAGACATCTCTAAATCCAACTATGTATCCACATCGTACAGCCAACAAAATACGCAACGATATGCATACTGTTAGGGGCTTGTTTAATAGTTGAGGATCTTGGTCAAAACCAAGAATCGGAAGCTACCCGACGTCTGCCCAAATATCATCCTTATCTCTTTAAATGAGTTTTAATTGCCTGAGGGAGACACAGGCAATCGTGTACCTTAGTTGCAGGGGATAGATTATTAAATAAAATTAGACTTTTGTTTTATGTCAACGACAAAGTAAAGTTATATTTTAGATGTTTAGTAAATATAAATTATATGTAATGTACAATACGTCTGACCTAAATCCTAGTACAGTTGGTTAGGAGCTATATCCAAGTGAGACGGACTTGGTTGGCTATGATGACAATTGGCGATAGACGGGTCGTTGAATAAAACAAGTTAAGTTATAAGTAATATAAATAAGACGAAAGTAATAATATTGAAAACTATGTCTATAACGGCCACTCAAACACAACTGCTCTTTGTTAGTTCGACGTCAGTAGCTCCGGACTACAGACTAGTAGAATTGTCACATTAGCATCTCCTTCTATGCTAATTAATATTTATTACGAATTAAATAAATAGAAATAAAACGTGTGTAATATAAGTGGTAAAAAAAGAGTAATAAATGTTCTTACAATACCCACAATATGATTGTCCAAATTATATAACTATTTCATACAATACACTTCGTCATAATCACATTACTTTTTATTTTGTTTCAATATTAAAAGTAATTTTGTTTTATAATTTATAAAGTAGTTCAACAAATATTTGTTAAGTCTAAAGGTTGATTTATTATTTTGTTATAATTTTTTAATAATTTTCAGTAAATAAAAAATTTAATAAAATTTAGACAGACTTACCTTGATGTAACTATAAGTTTTTTTTGTGGTGAAATGCAATATCTTAATGCATTTTCATCAGCTTTTAAGGAGTTTTTAATTGTCTCCAATTGGTCATCGAATGATTTAATAGACATTCTAAAATGGTTGAAAAATTTATCTTCGTGATCTCTAAGTTTTGGATATAACGTGATATATAAATTAAAAGAAAGTCTTGTTTTTAAAATTGGATGAACCCAATATTTTCTTTCCTTTCTTTTCTTTATTGAGTCTTTAAACGCTCGAAGTTTTACTGCTGATTCTATCGTTAATGTTGTATCTTTCGATTAATATCCGCCATGCCACTTCGTAATTTGACGCCATCGTTTCCAAACAATTAACAGCCTGTTAAGCATCGTCTTTTAGATCAGCTTTCAAATGAACAAATTTTTGTATGGCTGAAAATTGACCATTAGTATGAATTAATGCAGAAAAAATATCGTGAAATGTTGTCTATTGCTTATAGTTGCCATGAAATGTTGGAATATCTAGCAGGGCTAATCTTATAACTGGCGCCGCTACTGTTGAAGGTGTTGCTGTCGTGTTTCTTACAACCGCTTTGCTGATTACTCTACTCAATTTATTAAGCATCTTCTCCACAATCGTGCTAACTTTAAAGTATGGGTCTTCAAAATCAGCTCTATAATTTTGCTGTTTCTATACATTTACTCCTTAAAATATGTCGATTTCCGACTATACTTGGTCATACTCGCTCCATGCTTCCTTAATTTTTTCTTACCTAAGCTAAATTTCGATGAAGTACGACTTTTCATCCAGAACAAATTTTAAGAATTTGGTCAATGTCGATTTTAATTGACCTCTCTTTATCCCCAATCGTGCAGCTTTACTCTTACGGTTATCTTCAGGCTTAAATAACAATAATAAATTATTATTGTTTCAAAATAAACAAATCTATTCAACAGACCGTTAATAATATATATATATTTATACGCTCTGTTCAAAAGTTATGTGTGTAGCCAGTAAAGTTACACATAGCTCGAGTTGGCATTACCCCTCTCAATGTAATGACAACAATCGTGTCCGGCACTACCGGCACCTTGCGAGCACTACGTCGGTGTACGCGATTGAAGTCATACCGCATCTCTTGAGTCTGATGACTCGTGGCCAGTGAGCTGGCGTGTTTTTAATTTGTTTCATTGTTTTTTGGTTGGTATTGGCCTGTTTAGGTGACAACCAACACTTTATATTACCAGTTACGTGCTATTACTCGAGTGCTCAACGGAAATAGAGCAGCGGAGGTTGACATTCCATACGCAAAAGGAACTATTACTTTGGGAAGCGTTTTGGCAGTCGATTCAACGTTAATTGCACTATGGATAGCTGATGGCTGGGTGATGTTTCGTTTTGTTTGTTTTTTTCTACTATTATTATTCTAATGTTAATATATTGATATATTGAATATTTATTAGTTTATATATATATATGTATAATAAAGTTACTGTTTGGAATTGATATTATACGATTGTCAAGTAAAACCCCCCGATCCGTCATTTATGTTAAGATAATTAACTTAACGTTAAAAGTATAAAGTAGTGAAATAATTTACTCTGGGAATTGTAAAGTTTCATTCAATATATTTTACACGCTCTATTAACTGTTAAATAATGTCCGTGGAAATCTGAGCAAAGTACAAATTTAATGATTGTATCACAATAAATCGTTGTACGTCGACACTTTATAAATATTGGTTTTTTATCTATTTCACATGACGAAACCCAAAGCACTTCTANCGCTCTATTAACTGTTAAATAATGTCCGTGGAAATCTGAGCAAAGTACAAATTTAATGATTGCATCACAATAAATCGTTGTACGTCGACACTTTATAAATATTGGTTTTTTATCTATTTCACATGACGAAACCCAAAGCACTTCTACGAGTTTTAAATACGTTAATAACATATAATATATTATTATATCCCGTATATAGCAATCGTTGCTGCTACGCCATTACGTTGGGATGAAATTAACCTTTTTCCAATTTAATTTGTCAGAATTATTTACGAACACGCACTTTCATTATTATTTTTTTTGAGTTCTCGATAAACATTAGACGTTCTAGACAAACTATATGTGCGGACGTTATCTCTTATTACTAAAAGATATTAAATAAATTTAAAATAATACGAAACTCGAAGCACTGTACAAAGAATAATTCTCAATAACAAAAACCGGACGACTGTAAAGATAAGATTACATGTCACTTACAATAAAGGCCTAAATAACTTCCATTCTTACAACCAATAAATCATCAATTTTTTATCCATCTTAATGATAATAAAAACAATTATGAAGATTATCCAGATTTTAATGAAGATCAAAATACTGAATAAAATAGGCAACTTGCTAACATAAAAATTAGTATTTAAATATTTTGTTAAAAGTGCCATTAATAATTATGTTAAATAAATTGTGATTTTTTAATGTTTAAAAAATTGCATTAGCATATTTTCTTCTTGTTCTTCTTCGCTTTAATTCCAACTACTTGGGGTCAGCTACCCTTATCCTAAACTTCCACTTAACACGATCTCCCACATCGTCTACGCTCACGTCAGCTGTTCTCAAATCGCAGTCAATAGCATGAGTAATATTATGATATTTATTTTTATAGACTTCAGAGAAGTTTAGACCTGAGATTTTTGGCCATTGCTGAAATAAAGTGAAGAATTTGTATGTCTCCTGATTAGTTTGTCAGGAGAAGAAAGGATAAAATAAAAATATTGTTTTTGTCCACTTTTTATTTCTTTTGTTAACTTTTATTCTATAGATTATTTCATTACCAAAAAAAAACGGTATCTTAAATTTATTTCCTACTATATTTAGTATAAAAAATTTTTTTACTCATAGTACTTGTGCCATTTTTAGTTTAAAAAATTCGAAAAGTTATAAATAAAAATTTTTATTGTAAGATTAATATATATTTATTTTTACAAATAAAAAACAAAACTTAAAAACTATCTATATTAATTATTTTCAAGTACAACTAAACGTTAATATAGATTTTTATTGGAATGGTTAAATGTTGTTTCCTTTTAATTATCATTCATATTATTGTTATATAAAAGAGAATTATATATGATAAATCATAAGAAGTGATTAAATGGTAAAATTTTACTAAAATAATAGTTTACAGATAAAATACTAAAGTTTATTTTTAATCAAGAGTAAAAATTCTAGCAGAAATATCATTAACCATCCAATTAATGCCTTCTAATAAATTTTCACCTGTATATGCACTACAATGAATAATTTTCCAATGATGACTTTTTATACGTTCAAGTTGAAGAATCTAGAATCATTCAGTTTCAATGTATAGTTATTAAATTCTATGTTTGGTACTTTTATATACTTTTTTAATGAGTTATAACAAGAAATAGGGTTAGTTTATATTTAAAAATTGTATACAAACTTCTTTTATTTCTTCAGCAGATAATGCTCCTTGTAAATCTTGTTTATTAGCAAAAATAAGTAAAGTTGCTCCAGCCAACCTCTAAAATTTTCATAACAAAATAATATAAATAGATGATGTTATATATTAGATTATATTAACAAAAGAAAAATTGTTTGAAATTATCTACTTTGATTTATTTATTTAATTATTTTTGTAATAGTGAAAAATAATTTTTATTACTTTTTGTTAAATAATAAAGTTTGCAAATTAAAAATAAAACTTAGATGATCACAAACTTGTCAAATGACTGAAAAAATTAGTAAGTTATCAAAAATGTAATTTAAGTAAATTTCATAAGTTCTCTTTAAAAATTAAAATTTTTAAGACTTCTCAGGCATGTGATATGCCTAATAAGACTGAAGGATATGTCATATATCCTTTTTATAAAACTGTACTGATAACAGTTAAAACCCAAATTTGTTGGTAACATCATAATAGGTCTATTATAGAATAGTATAAATTTATGGATAACTTGCACTATAATTTATTGTATTTTGAATACTTACTTCTTCTTCAATTAAACTATGTAGCTCTGAAGTACAGTCATTTAATCTTCTTTTATCTGCACTATCAACTACCCATATCAGACCGTCTGTACTTTCAAAATAATTTCGCCAATATGATCTTAATGACTTTTGCCCACCAACATCCCATACATTTAATTTATAGCTAAAACGTATCAAAATTATTAGTTATATAATTAAAAATATTTTTTTTTAGATTATAATTTAAAATTTTTTTAAATACCGGACTATTATTATTGTTATTATAATGTCAACTAATTAGCAGATTATTAAAAAAACATTATTTATGGATTTTTTTTGTTCAAAAATAATATTAAAAAATAAAATCAATAAATACTTTTTATGATCCAATGTTTTAATATTAAATCCTAATGTTGGTTCAATTGTATTTGTTGGTTCTCCATTGTATTTTTTCAAAATGGTTGTCTTTCCAGCATTATCTAGACCTCTAATTTAAATTAGTTAAAGGACATACTAAAATATTATTCAGTCATTTTTTGATTCAGAATTATTACTCATCTAAAATTTATCAATCGAATAATTTTAAAAAAGATTTAAAATAACAAGTTCAATCATTAAACATTTCAAGTTTTAAAAGGATACAGTATTAAAATTCTCATCTCTTTCTCTTTTTGTTTCATTTTCTTTAATACTGTCATTAAACCCATTTTATTATTAAATATGTATTAATATAAATATTAAATTCGAAATTATACAGAGAACTAATTAAACATTTAATACAATACAATTTTTAACAGAACTCACTAAATTAACAAATAAATTCATTAAATGAATACAGCTTAAAAAAAAAAAATTAAATAAATATTAATTTTTAGTTTATCTTTTTTATAAAATATAAATTTGTAACTTGTATTTAAGTTTAGAAGATTTTGAATTATGCAATAAATGTTATATTCTTTTGTTATCTCTGATAACGAGAAATGATATAAATTAACATTTTAACTCTTTATCCTAGAAATTCAAGTAATTTTAATTGAAATATTAGGAAATAACATTTTAATTTTTTATTTATTTTTTATTATATTTGAATAATAATTACTCATATCAATTTATGAGTTATTAATAACGGCTAATTTGTTATAACAATTCTTAGAATTATCTACTAACAGATAGCGTTGTTTAATGTATTGAAATTAAAAGTGCGAACATTTAATACTATATCTTGGTTATAGTGAATGATATTTTTAACAAGATTACAATATCTGTTTTCACTCCATAAAAGGAATTTTATAAAATCCGTTTTATCATAGAAACAATAGTAATTATTTTTTTGCAACAATTTAAATAATTTATGAAGAATATTTCACAATTTACCATAATTTTTATTTAGAATTAATTTTACTGTTTACAATTGAAAATGCAAGTATGTATTTTTCTTAGTTAATATGTCATGTTTTAAATATCTTAAAATTAAGTTAAGAAAAACTTTCATGTTTTAATTACAGGACCCGAACGAAGATACTGAATGGAATGATATATTAAGAGCTAAAGGAATTATACCTCCCAAAAAGGAAAAAGAAATTACTGAAGATGATGTAATTAATTTAGTAGAGCAAACTGTCAGAGAAAAACGAAATGGTAAATACATGTTTTTTCTATAAAAAATTTTTTAATAATATTTTAATTGTTAAAAGTGGTTACATTAATAGTTGTAAATATAAAAATCACACAAGTAGAAATATTGTTAAAATATCATTGCCCATATTTTATCTATTAAAGTTAACAAGCCAATTTGTCCTACCTTAAGTTAATAAGTTTATGAACTAAGTAATAATTTTATATATTTAATATCTTTCACTGGTATAGGAGAGAAAAAAGATATGGTGGATATGTCTTTAGATGAACTAGATGAATTAGAAGATGAAGAAGATGAAAGAGTATTGGAAGAATATCGTAGGCGGAGAATTGCTGAACTAAAAGAACAATCGAGGAAAGATGTTTTTGGTGAAGTAATTGAAATTAGTGGTCAAGATTTTGTGAATCAAATCAATAAAGCTGGTCAAGGAGTATGGGTAGTATTACTTTTATATAAACAGGGGTAAATTTTTCTTATGTTTAGAGTACTTTATTTTAAGTAATATTTATTTATTTTCTATTTTAGTATCCAGGTATGTGCTTTATTGAACGAGTATCTTAATAACTTAGCGAGGAAGTTTCCAGCTACAAAATTTGTGAAGAGTATTTCTACCACATGTATCCCAAATTATCCAGATAGTAATTTACCAACTATTTTTATTTATCATGAAGGTGATATGAAACATCAATTTATTGGGCCAAGACTATTTTCACTGACAACAACACAAAATGGTACTTATTTTATTGATTTTAATCACTTTGTGTAATATAAAATGTAATACTATATTTTTTAGAATTTGAGTGGATGTTGGGACAAGCTGGTGCAGTAAAAACTAATATTAAAGAAAATCCCAAGCCGAAAGCTAGAGATGTCTTGTTTGATAATTTACTCTCAAATATGCAATGATAAAGATCAAAATAAACATTTTATGTTTAAAATTAATTTAATTAAAAATATATATTTTTAAAGTTATTTTTAAGTTTAAGTTATTGTATTTTTAAAAGACTATTTAATAATATATTCATATAGAAATAATATTCTTGAAATGCACATTAATTAAATTAATATTTTATTTATGAATATATTAGTAATTGAGTGATAAGACCAACAGTTGTTCAACAGCTCTGATATAAAAAACATACATTAATTTACATTTAATTAATAAAAAATAATGGTTCTTTTTATTGTTTCATAAAATAAATTGTAAATTTTACTTTTTTTTATCTATCCATTTGACAGTCAAATCTAAACAAGTGACCATGAAAGATTTTGACTGGTTAAAAAACCAATTCTAGTTTAATTAGTTTGATATAAAATTTAAAAAGAGTTCACTAAAGCTATTAATAGATTTTATTAATATAATATATATTGTTCTAATATAGCTAACAAGGAAAAGACAAAAAAAAAAAAAGTTAGAAAACAACAAATCAATACATTAGATGAAAATTTATTCAAATTTGATTAAATAATAACAACTTTATTAATTGAGAATTTAAGTATAAATATTGATATATCATTATAATATTTATAAATATTATTATATTAAAATCATGCTAATCATCTTGTTTCAAGCACCAACTGGTTCCACTCTTCCCTAATTATATAGATTTTAATAATAGACAAATATCTTGGATTGATACATAAGTTAGTTTGTTTATCAGCATTCTATAATTAGTATTTAAATAGTACAAGGTTTAAATCGTGATGAATAAGCTAATTTCAACAGCATTTCTATAATCGATAAACTTTTTAAGATATGTCGTTTACAATTTAAAAACAAAATACATCCCTGTTATAACCGTTTAGAAAAATCAAAAAGTATCCTTACATGCGCACGACGAACAAAGTGAATTTAGTACAGTGTTTTACAGGCCGGTTTTCTGTTTGGAGTTGGTCTCTGTAATATACATTTCATGGTTCAATGTACTGTTCTTCATAATGTAAAATATAACTGTTTGTAATTATAAAGTATATTTTATTTTTCTTAGGTCTAAGAATTTTTTTAGGTCTAAAAAATTAATTATTCAATAAAAAAAAATAAACTTTTACTTTGTTACCCATACTATTTTACCAGGGCAACTCTGATAACAAGTACACGAATTATAAAAATACATTTTTTTTATAATAATATAACATATATTGTTAAACTAAAATAATTATAAATAATAATATATATATAAATGCAATTGAAATAGAAATGATTTTTAGTGAAGGGATATATCGAATATAAACTATTCGGTTGTATAAAAAAAATTAGAATAGTTATTTGATAGTTAAAAATATTCGAAAATGCCCATCACTAATAATTTTATATAATATCCATTATTTCTATTGTAAATTTATAGTAATGATTTTTTAATGTAAATTACTAGATAAAGTCATATTATTTGCTAGTAAAAAATTTCGATGATCACGATTTAATGAGCCGGGAGGCAAACACTAATAAATAACAAGCAGTTGCTTTCTTTGTTAGATTTCATTTTTACAATTTTATACCTTGGAGCTTGGTAAATACCAGATACTTCCAAGTATAAAACTCATTTTGTATGTTTTGACATATTTAATTATTATAATATATTAATTATTTAAATTAAATCAAATTATTGGGAATATATTTTATACATTTTAGTTGTATACATTTGTATATATTTATGTAAAATTGACAAATAGTAAATAAAAAAAATTAATTAGGATTTTATATTAATAAATCTAAAACTACCTCCGTTCTCAAAAGTAATTATATTTTAAAACTATAATTTGGAGGGGGTTGTAAATAACTTTCCTCTTTCTAATTTGCCTATAAAAATGACCTGATAATGTTAATTATATAAAATGACAACCAAAAAGAATAGCATTTGTAGAAGAGTATATTTACTACAATAATATAATATATTGTATTGTTTTTCAATATTTTTTAATTTCACAATATATATACGTGTGTGTGTATATTTTAATTATTGGTATAATTACTATTTTCTATTGATGTTTACCAAATGTTTTAATAGAAGAAATTTTTCAAATTTTCTGTTGTAAAAATCCATATTATTACTTATAGCATTAACTTTTTGTATAGAATTTTAATAAAATGTTTTCCTTAATATGGGACTTTTAAAAAATACGTATACATGGTGTTGATATCCTAAATAGGTCTCGGAAACTTTAAATAGTCAAAATAAATAAGTGTTTAAGGTACTATTGGGATTCTTAAAAAAAATGTTTACGTATAATTCTCCCCCTTATAAAAAATCCCGAAATACCACTGACCTTAGTTTCAATTATCATAAGCATACCTAAAAAACCTAAACCTAAAAATGTAAGTTATGATTCTTGTATTTCAAAAATAAAATTTCCAAATGAATTATTTTACTGTTTAAATAAATAGTAGTAAAGTCATTTATGTAATAATTTTCCCTTTTACTTAAAAGTAGTTATTAGGTAATTTTTGTTTACTAGTATTCTTTTTATATACACCTAAGGCTAATTCCACAAAAGAGTGTATAGTACTGTACGTGATTGGTAAATGTGACTTAATTTTACTTTATCGAGTAATACATTTTTTATACCAACAAAGTCACAGTTATAATTTTTTGATGTTAATATTTTAGTTATCAAGTTGGCTATTAATAAATGTTAGTTTTAAGAAAATTGTTAACTAATTAAAAACATTGTATATTATACTCATTAAAGCTGTTGGTTATTAAAAAAAACAATTGGATTTATTAGTAATAATAAACATTTGTGTTAATAATCAAATGTAGATCCATTTACTTATTTGTGCTTTATTTGAATGATTTATTAATGTTTTAAATGAACTGAGTTTATTGGATAATAGCAGTCTATTGTTAGTTTTGCACAAAATATTTAGCATAGCTGTGCTGGTACAACTTAAACAGTTGTACCAGTATCAGTGGTACAATTAATGGGAGGGATAGGGAGTTTATGTGTTATTGTAGATTGTATAGTTATGAATGGTACTGGCATCCCCTCCACTTAAGAAAAGTAATTCTGGACTGGTGAAAAGGTTTTTTCCACTCATAACATACGGTAAAAGTATTCTTCCTTTTACTCTATTTTAGGTGACCTACTTAACTCAGTCGGGAACGCGTCGTGCTCGGTTTGTAAGTACTTAGATTCGATTTGGCTGTGTAGGTTTTTTCATTTTCGTTAACATAAGCATGTCTTTTTAAAGAGTACGTTAAGGATCCTAATACAATTTTTTTTTATTATCATAAAATTATGTATAATTAGCTTTAATAAAATTAAAAGCATTAATATCAATTAAATTGTTTATCTAAAAAATACTATGCGAAAAACTTCACTTTTGTGATTATTTTATTTATCAAAATAATATAAGTAATTAGTCACGTCACATGCTAGTGAATTCGCTAAATTACACGAAACTAATTTACACTGTTTTTTAAATTTCATCACTAGTAAATTTACTATTAATAATACTATTTACTAGATTTATTGTAAGAATAAATATTCTATATTATTTATATTATGGGCACCTTCTAGCGCATTACTGTTTTTGACTTTGAATTAAACATTAAACGCTTGATTTTAATTGTTAAATTATCTTTGAAAATATTTTTAGGATGCAAGATAATTTTAGAATTATCAATAAATAGACTAATTATGTATGTTTGTTTTATAGTTATTGGAGCAAAATGATTGTTAACAGTACAATATTTATTTAATACTATTTTTATCGGCACATCATTGCAAAAATTCCAAGAACTAATATCATTAAGTCATTACATTAGTTTTTTGAAATAAAAAAATTACTCTGTCATTGTATATTTTTTCATAAAAACTTATTTTGATTATTTTTAATAAGAAAAAGACATTAATGTATCTTCCTGTAAAAAGTGATGCTAGCAAATTAATTCCCATATAAAAGCGACTCACTACACCCACATATTAATTTTAATTAATAGCAAATATATGAAGAAAATACCAAATAATTTTGAATATTTTATTTAAACTACTATAGATGTCAAAAGACCATATCAAAAATGTTTTTCATTGTGTGTTTTATTCTTATATAAGTACTGAACTTAAAATATAAAAAATTAGAAATTATTGCAACATAATTATATGTTTTAAAATCATAATTTTTGTTCAGAATATCATAAGTGACTAATAAATTGGTTTTCTATTAGAACTGCTGACTTTAAAGAGAGTCTCGTCATTGAGAGAAGTTAGAAGTAAAAAAGGGGTATTTGATTAAGAATTTCGGAAAGTGTAGCATCGACATCCAAAAATCAGTTACTTGAACTTTTTTAGTTAATGACTCACGTAAGTCCTACATTTTTAATAGTTGAAAAATTTCGACAATATTTTAGAAAATAATAACGCAACATTGCGTAAATAGAATTATGTTATGAATAATTCATTAAAAATCTTAAAAGATTGCGTTTGTTATTTTTATGCACAACGTGCGTGAAATGATTATAACAAAACAGTAGCCTGTACATTTTTTTACTCCAAGTACAACTTTATTTGTGTCTTTGAGCTTCAGTAGTTGAGTATATATTTTTGTTTCATAACTAACGCTGTTTAAACAATTCCTGGCAGGGTAATGAGTAGTTGAATACTCAGAGATGCAGGTGTTACGACGTAGGGTACAATTTTACGCCATTTTTTCCGCTCGGATTATGCACATTATTAATATGACGTCATGTATTTTCCGAGTTGTCCTTGACTAGTGAAAGGTGTATGGTTTTTTATTCATGTGTAGAAAGGGTAGGAGAAGTTTTTCGAGGGAAAAAGGGGTCATCGTGACTGTCTCTTGCTTCGAGTGCGGGCATACACGCATCTGCTATACAACTGTAAATACATGTGCAGAAAATCATATCATGAATAGGTAAGTCGATTTATTAATTTTTAGTTAATTTTAAACCATAATTATCGTGATGTTAAGTGTATCAAATTATAATTACTGTTTTTTTACATTATAAAGTTAACAAGTTGATGATATTTTATTCAATTTGACAATAGATGTAATAGTGTATGAAGAAAGTTAGAAACTGCGGTTCGTTTTAAATGAGCAAAGGAGCGCATAGAAATTTTTCTGTTACGTACGATCTACATAATAAAGATTATCTTTGTGTAATTTCGCAATTTTTAGACTCGTTTTAATGCATCTTTGTATTGTTGTATGTTTTTAAGGCGATATTTTGTTAAATATTCAATTATTGCGAGTCTTCGTGTACTTTTGTTTAGTGATTTATGGCCCTTGGATCTTCGGCATGACTACACATAAAATTTGTTGCAGCCTTAAATGGTTGAAGTTTAGAAAAGAAATAACACATTATATTCAAATACAGTTATACAATAACTATTAAAATATTTACATCAATTTTTGCAGTAGAATTTGTAATAAAACTAAAAAGTAACTTAAAGATAATTCTGTTTGAAATATACAAATAAATTATGCATGTTTATTTTTAGTACTTAAAATTTTTGAATCTTTACAACTAGAACTATTAATTTCCTTAGTCTAGATGTTCACTGAAAATTTAGAAATGTAATAATGTAACTGTAAATTAGTGTAATTATGATAAAAAGAACTGTTTATCTAACTTGCAAAAACCAGTATGGAATTTTTTTTAAAAAAAGTAACATAATGTTAATGGTCTGATTTCACTTAAGTTCTTTTCTCTTTATTTTAAAATTCTTTAAAAGAGTTTTGTGTGAAATAATGTTTAAGTATTTTACATTTTTGAAAGTGGTCGGTTTATGTAATTAAGTGGCAGTTAAATTATCAATATGTTTATTTAAAAAATCAAAACATATAAATGAATTCATTGTTATAGTTATAATTCCAAAAATTAAAACTATTTGCATTTTCAACATTAATTTAAAAATAAAGCAAGTCTTATTTCAGAATGTTTAGTGTTTAAGTTTTGCAAAGTAACAATGTTTTTGTCGTAAAAAAATAATCGGCCTTTTGTATTATAAAGCATTAGTTTCAAATTATAAGGTGTTAAAGCGTTTATGGATCATAACTTCAGTAAAGTTATGAAGTATATCATTATTAATTACGAAATAATTATAACTACCATATTCATAAAAATATGTTAAGTATATTATTGGTTTAAATAACACTTAATGGGTACCAATTAATTTACAATGATTGTAACAGATAACTAACAATTTATTAAAAATCCTTACATAGTAGTGGCGATACGCTCATGTTTCTATTATTGCAGCATAAAGAAATTGGTAAAAAGTATAAAACATGTCACAGAATCGTATCGATTTTATATAGGTAGATTTTTAAAAATATAATTTTGAAAATAATTTCAATACGTTGACATGTGATAAATGACGAAATATCTAAGACTTCTTCATTTTTTTACTTACTTAAAAATTATAGGTCAAGGGTTAAGAAGTTAATGTCAACAATCTAATATACTAGAACTAAAAATATCGTGAATTTTTCGAAATTTAAACAGCCATTTAGTAGCAATAAGTTGTTTTTTGTAAACAAATATGGGCGACAACCTTGATTAACTTCTGAATTTTTTTTAAATACATAATATACTAGTTTTTCATGTTTAATTTTCTTATTTGTGTAATAACTATTCACGGTTTTGAACTTGATTGTGAATCTTGAAACTTCATTCAAATTAATTTAATTTTGATATAATTCAACGAGAAAGTAGTACAACATTTGTATTGAATAATATATATATATTTTATTTTAGCTATTTATTATTCTAGTTAAAATAAATTAACTGTATTCTACTTTTAAGTTTTTATTACAATTTTTTTAATTTGAATAACCTCTATGGAATAAAAATGTATTATATTCGCTTTATTTCAGTAGATTCCATTCTACCATAATTTCAGTCCTTTTATTATTTTTTATAGTATGTATTTTTTATTTTAGGTTTGATATTGGTATTAATTAAATAAATTTAGCGATAATCTAGCTTTGACTTTATAATTTTTTATTTTATCTTTGGCACAAGAAGGCATTTGCCTTATAGTTGTCTTAAAAATTTTCTTTTCGAAATGAACCGGTTCTTTAAATACAAAAAAAGTTGTGCTATAGTATATTAAAAATAACTAGAAATTTTGGTATTTAAGTGATATATTCGTTTGTCAGTTAATCTATATTACTTCTAGTACGTTGGTTACATTTATAAGTTATGTCCGTTTAACAATATTTATCTTACTTGATACAATACTTAATAATTCCGGTTTTAAACTACTTTCACCTTCTTTGATTAAATCTTCAATTGCCTCTGTACTTGATGAATGAATAAAGAAAATTTTAATCATCACGATAAATTGAAATTAAATACATATTAAGAGAGGTTGCAGTTATTTAATTTATTACTTTAAAGAAACGTATATTCATTCAAACATGTATTAGTTATTAAATTGAATTCTTAAGTAAATATCTTAACACATCATTTTTGTTCTAATAAAATAAACAGTTTTGTAATTGAATTGATAAGTGTCAATACATGTTAGGGTAATAATTAATATAATCATAAAAACCAATAAGTTACTTTTTACTTATAAATAATAATTACTATCGTTGAACTCAATTTATTTTTCGTAAAATATATTTACGTTATATTTAATATAGCAATTAAACAAATATGCATAAACCAATGAATTTTTAACATAGATTATACATCTAAAATAGTAATATCAATTTTTTTTAGAAAAATAATTTTACAGAATTTAATATCCTTTTGATGAAGTTTAATATAATAAATTGCTAATAATTATTTTTGGTGGATTATTGTTCAAATTTTGAACTCAATAAAACATGAAAGTGATACGATTATGCGTACTTCATCCATTTTTTAACAATCAAATTTGCGAGTTTTTAATATTTTTAAATTAGTCAAAGAATGTACATAATAATAGAATAATGTGTTTTTCCATAACTGGATAATAAAAATAAAAAACATAATTTCTGTCTACTTTCTCTACAGATGGATAATTATTATACGGGACATACGTTGTTCTATAATGTATGGTTTAGTAAACACATTGTAACTTCAAAATCATTTTGGGAAGTGTAATTCACCATCTAATGATAGTTGCTTATTAAATACTGATTCTGTAAATATTTTTTATATTTATGAAAAAGGCTTTAAAATAATGTTAACTCTTCAGGAAATATTAAATTTTTTGGATGGACTATTTAAATAATCAATGTTGTTATAAAAATAACATTTTAAAAAGATATCAATGGATTTACTTTCAAATTTACTTGACTTCATGATGTTGTCATACATACCAGCTACTTTCAACAATCTTATTATAATTAAATTATAATAAGATTATGGTATACATTTTGTACCCTACTCTATCTTAATTTTAATTAAAAATTATATGAAACTATATAAACTATATTAGTTTTAACGTTTTCTCTTGTTATATTTTATATCAAGAAGTATTTTTCATCTAATTAAAAAAATTCTATTAAATAAATTTTTATGAAATAACAATAACTAAATGTAAAATAGTAATTTTTATTTTTATGTGGTTGCATTAAATCATCTTACATATTATGCAGTTTTAATGTAGTGATATTTTTTGCTATGACATTTTATAGACCTTCATGTAATGGTAAATATATTATTATTAATTACTTTAATGCTAGTGAAAGTGTAGGCGAACAAAAAAAAAAAAAAAAATACAGCGCCACTATTTGTATTAATATTCGACTAGCGTAAACGCATCAATGTGTGTGTGTTTGTTAAATTAAATGATAATAATTGTAAAAATGTTTTCCATGACACAGCATTGAATTTTTGTAACCTTTCAAAACTGTACAAATATATACTTATTATAAAAATGATGAATGAAATTTTAAATTAACATCATCTTGTTTTGCATATATTTATTATAAATGATTAAAGTAATTGTATGTAAATAAAAAGAACAATTGTATTTGATTTTTTAATAATTTATTAAGAATGTAAAAATTCAGTTGTATCTAATCATATACTCCTATAATCATTTTTCATCGTCCTAAAAGTTTATCAAAAGATTTGTTAGTCCTAGTAGTTCATTGAGCTCAATTGAATAATTTTTAATTAAAAATAAAAGAGAATAATTAAAGATTGTATTGTATGTATCCCAATATTTATGTACTATTTAGTATAATCAACAATTTTATTGGTTTATTCATCAGAATTAGAACATTGTTTCATATTTTATAAGCAACTAAGTTTTATAAAATTAACTATATTTATTTGCTTATAAATACCAATAATGTTATAGTAAGTTAAATTTTCTTGATGAAATTCTCAGTACAGTGAGATTTACTCAAAATATGCATTTATGAATTATTAAGTTTAAGATAAAGCTGTTCATATATGTTGCTATTGAGATATTTAAACTGACAAAATATCGATCTTGCATAATAAAATACATAATAACCTAGTTATAAAAACTTTCTATGATCGTTACTGTGTTAAATTTCTTAACAAAACAATGCTTTGCTGTTTAATATAAACTATAAAAACGTATACACACACACATATAAATATAAATGTTAGTTTTATCCCATAATAGGTATAAAGTTATCAATTTATTAGATTTTGTTATAAGTCTCTAACTCGTTCATCTTATACTGAATGTTGAATTATACAATTTTTGTATTTTTTAGGGTACACTTAATCGTCAGTAGTTTACTGGCGATTTCATCTTATAGCTACGGTCAATCATTCGATAGTGACTGCGCATTACACTTATCAGGAGCAGGTAGAACAAGCTTCTTTGATTTCAACACAAATACCCTGAGAGGTGGACCTCAGTAAGTATTAATTTTTTTTACTACTAACATTATACAAATTTATAAAAATTAAAAGTGCAAAATATTGATTTGTTGTTATTTTTTTCAAATAATAAAGAATAGAACCAATATCTTGATGCACAAGAAAAAACTAATTGAGTAGTAATTGTACTTCTATTAAATGTCTTAAATTATAATAATGTGTAAATTTTAACATATACTCTACACTTCATTCTTATAATCATATCTAAAATAAAATAATTTGTAATGCTAGAAGATGTGCTATCTATTTATTTAACTCTTTAGTGCACAGCAGGATAACGTATTGTTGTAATATCTATTATTATCTGTCAAAATAGTTATTTCTTTGAAATTGGAGTATTCGTTTTTATTTGTAGATCATCAATAGTTAGTCAATTTTTAAAATATGAAACTATTTTTTAGTATAGTAATTTATTTAAATCTGGTAATTTGTTTTTAGGGGTTTTGGTCAACCCGGTCAATGCATTACGTATGAAGCAATCAATCAAGCATACATTGATGCCAGAAAACGAATAAGTAAGAGGAGTACAATAAATATAAAAATATACAGGGTGTTTAGTAAGTAAGTAAACAGGTCAATTGTTACAGACAATGAGAGCAATAGAAACTCGTTTCCTTACTTATTGAATACTCTATACAGGGTGTTCAATAAGAACACCCTGTATATTAATTTCATTATAAAAAAAAACATTTTGTACTCTTAACTAGTATTGCGTAATAGAAAAACAGCTTTAATATTAACCTTCTAGGATAGCATTGTAATTCAAATGATTTTTCGTTTTTTTTTAAGTGATAAACTTGAAAAAAAATGTACGTTTTCCTAATTATTTTCTCAGAAAAAAATAATTATTTTTAATTCATTTGCACATGACCCTATGGGTGTGCGTGGTTACACTTAATGCTAAATATATTTGAATGAACACTCGCGTTTTATAACGAGTATAATAATTATATGTAAAAGCTGCGACGATATCTGCTGTGGCCAGTGAAAGGTGACCTCTACTTGATTTTCACGACCGGTTTATCGCGCTGTAATCATTAGAGTATCTTTCAATTTATTTTTCGTGAAGAAATGATTGCAAAATCTGATTGCCTCCAGAAAGAAGAATGTGTATACAATTTTTTAAAATAAGAATTTGGCGTTTCAATTGCATACGATAATTTAAGTCTAGGAAAGGGAATTATGTTTACCAATAAACTGTTGTAACTTGTTTCCTATTTACAGATATTGTACCAGCTAACAAAGAAAAATACACTTCTGAAGAATTAGCTTCCGTCGGTGAATTACTCCTTGACATTTCTATACAATTAACTAAAAAGTAAACAGTTATTCATAATATTATTCTTCCGAGATAGACCAACTTTTAACTTGCTTATAGTTATGGATTGACTTATGAAGAAGTAGAAAAAGGATTACCTACAATTGATACTTCACGTACACTCATTAAGGAAGTTTGCCCCGCATTTTTGTCTAACGTTGAGTGCAGACCCGGAAAATATAGAAGATACGATGGACTGTGTAACAATGTTAAACACCCTACATGGGGTGCCACAAATACACCGTTCACTAGGTTAGTTGGACCACTCTTTTCCGACGGTATGAGTTCGCCTAAAGTGAGTATGCTCAGTAACAAGCGATTGCCACTCGCAAGAGTTGTTTCCCGGACCATGCATCCTGATGAAGGATACCATGAGCATGCAGCTACTTTAATGTTGGTAGCTTTTGGTCAGTTTATGGATCACGATTTTACATTAATGGGCACGCCAGCAGGTATTTTCTATAGATTAAATACATTTGAGTAAATATTTATTTGACTTTTGTAAAAATAACATGTTCTGAGTTAAATTTAAAACAATCCAGAATTTCAATTGACACAAATTTAATTGTAATTTTTTAAAGATCCACTCACTAGAAACGAACCAGAAGAATGTTGCAAACGACCTCCACATTTGAAAAATCCTTATTGTAACGAAATACCAATACCAGATGATGACTACTTTTATAAAAAATTCAATGTCAAATGTTTGGATTTCGTAAGAGCTTTCCCAGCCGTCAGACCAGGATGTCGACTTGGTAAGAAAGAAAAGCTAGATTATTCTTCTTCAAAGCTAGTGATATGATTAAAAACTTTGGAGTAAGATACATTGTCTTTTTTACATTTATTTCAAATTTATTTAATAACCAATTAATACCAATAAAAGTATTAATAAATTAACGGCAAAACAAATTTCTCCTGAAACAAATTTTTCAAGCAACCAAATTCGCATATTTTATATTTAACTAGTCTTCATGAAGTTACTAATCCAGGAAACTTGCTTAAACCGGATAATTAATATAATAACTAATCTTATAATATCAGTTTTAAAATTTTCTCTAAAGCATTTTTTTAAAATCTCAATTCAAGTTGTCAATAAAAAAATGTCTAAAATAAAAATTTTACTATTCTTTTGTAATTTAAAACTAATTTACGGTTGGACTTAATGAAATTTTCAAAAAATTATGAACAAGTGATTATTTCAATAAGAAAGTATAAGAACTATATTAAAATATTTCATTAATATGCACATTATTTTTTAGGTTCGAGAGTACCTTTCAACACATTAACTGGAGTTATTGATGCAAACACAGTTTACAGTGTTACTGAAGATTACGCTAGGTAACAATATAATAAGTATTTGAAATTAATTAATTGTATAGCAGACAATATATTAAAGTTATATTAATATAATTTACTATAATAATATAAAATAGAATTATTTAAGAATTTTTAATTATCATTAATTAATATTTTCATTACTCTTCTCGTTTCATCATCATCATGTTCTTTTTAATCATAATTTATATTTTCGTCTTACTTCTACTAATCCTTAATATTTTTTCTTCAAGGGCTAATTTACGCATCTCTAGCCTTTGGTTGGAGATGTGTTTAACATCCTCTCTATTAATACTACTTCAACAGCTAATATATGACTACAATACCTCTAAGTAATTTTATCAGTCACAATAGAAAACGAATAAGTGCTTAAAGCAAAACATGAAATACTATAAACTTCTGAAAATAAAGAATTATATTTTTATATTTTTAAAGATATTGCGTGAAGCATAGTCAATTAATCACCTTCTAAATTTACGACGAATCAAGTTGAATTAACTCAATTTAAATTTAAAGAAAAAATTATTTTTTGGAAGTTAAATTTTGAATTATATTAAAAATTTAATTATATTTACTGTCACAGTTAAATTTGAAAATTTCCATTTTTGTGATTTTCATATAAATTATTGTTTCTTTGTAATACCAATATATGGGTAGCATTTTAGTTAACTGACTGACTAAATTATAAACAAATTAGTTGGATATTCAGCAACCATTGTATAAATGTATAGAGTTGAGACATAAAAATGTGTAATGTGAAAAAAGTGTTGTCTATTTATAACTCCTTAAAAATGAAAATTTCGAATACTCGTATGAAGTAAAATTAGTGCTACAATTATTTAAATATTTAGTAATTTTTAATAAATTATTTTTTTAGTAGATATGAAATGTTATAACGATATGTATTTGTTATATATAGAGTGTTCAGTAAATAAGGAAACGGATTTCTATTGTTCTTATTGTTTGTAATAATGTACTTATTTTCTTACTTACAAAACATTCTGTATAAAATTTAACTGATAAACCTTAGAGATCAAACATAATACTTACTAATCAATAATTGTGTTATTTTTCAGGCATTTAAGAACAGGCTATCATGGATTATTAAGGATGAATCCAGCATTTTCTGAGTATGGTTTAAAAGATTTACTACCAATGAGAACAATTTACCCTGATGAAGGATGCACCAGACACAATCGATCACAATTCTGTTTTGACGCAGGTACATTAGTACTAAGTACTACTTTCTATACTTTTTTTAAATAAGATGTCTTTCAACAATTAAAAGATTTAATTAACGTTTTGTGTAATTAAAAATGTTTAAATACAATGCAATTCTAGTATAAGAGTTAAATAATTATTTATTTTTATAGGAGAAGTACGTGTGAATGAACAACTTGTATTAGCGTCTATGCATACGCTATGGGCTAGAGAACACAACAGAATAGCTGAAGAGTTAGGTAAAATTAATCCACATTGGGATGATGAAACTCTTTTTCAAGAAAGTAGACGTATTGTAATTGCTAAAATTCAACACATTACTTACAATGAATGGTTACCTACGTTGTTAGGAAAAGGAGTCATGGAAAAATTCGGACTTCTTCTTCAAAAAGATGTAAATAACTTAATTTTACAAATTAATTTGAATTAACTTTCTTTTTATAAAATGATTTGCAATAGTTTTTCTAAAAATAATATTTGGGCGTTTTTCATATTAAAATAATAACGAAAGACTAGCTTAATATTGCTTTTATTGTATTTTATTGATATCAATTTTCCCAATTCAGAATAATTCGTGAATAATTTGTGTAAATAATATTGTAAATATACATTAAAGTCATTATGTTAACAAAAAAAAAAAAAAATGTTACTCAACTTTTCATTAAAATTTTTCAGGGTTATTGGGATGGCTATGATCCAGAAGTAAATCCAAATATTCTTGCTGAATTTTCAGCAGCTGCTTTGAGGATCGGACACACATTTTTACCAACAGCCGTTGAAAGATGGAGTAAAGCACATAAATTTATCGGTAAATATGAAAAATTGTATTTTATGGAGTTAAGTACAAATTATTATATTATATTATATTATCATATAACAGTCGACGGAAGTTAAAAATACTAGGTGGGGTAAATATATTTTAAAATTTTTAAATCGCTATTCACCCTACAAGCATTCAGTTGTATAGCATATTTTTTTTTTTACTATTCACTTTAATAATTATCTTTCAATAATTTAATAATTTTGATAGGATATAAATTTCTTACAAAACAAGGTTAATTATAATTGGATGATTTTTAGTACTCTAAGATAACATTTTCAAAGGTATCCAAAAAATTCTACATCCAATTAAGAAAAATGCGTAAATAAATTTAAATGTCGGATTGGACTTAATATATTTTACAAAATACAGTTTATCTTGTTTTATTACAATATAAACAAATAGTTTGGCGCCACTGTAGTGACGCCAATCTCTAAATTCATAAGACCTGTCTTATGAATTAAATAGCTACGCATATTTTTTTATTCTGAATGTTATATCACTAAAAAACTCTTCAATTTTCATTTATACATGGTGTTCAGTAAGTAAGGAAACAGTTTAATTGTTACAAACAACGAGAACATAGATTCCCATTTCTTTACTTATTAAACATTTTATATAAGATATTGATTAAAATTTTACATTAAATAAAAAATTTAAGATAAATTTTACTAGATCATGTATAAAATAGCCAGAATCGTGTAATATCTTTTAATTAGTATTATTAGTAAAATGATTAAAATAATCATTTTAAGAGCATACTACAAACTGATATGTATAAATTCACATTTTATAAAATCATATAATTAATTAAAATGAGTTTTTAGTGATAATTTCTGGTTTAACATTGAAACATTTAAATTTATTAATAAAAATATTTTTCTCTAATTGTTTTAATACAGCATCGAAAAAATTGTCTGATCTGATTAGACAACCATACGATTTATACAGACCTGGAGTATTCGATGAGTACATTATGGGATTGTCGAATCAAGTAGCTCAAGCTATGGATGATTCAGTTACGCAAGAAGTTACGAATAAATTATTGAAAAAACCTGGTAAACAGTTTGGTATTGATTTAGTGTCATTCAATATTCAAAGAGGACGTGATTTTGGATTACCAGGCTTTATGGAATACAGGTATTTTTTGCGATTGTAAATAAAGAATTAAAAATACCGTAAACAAGTTTACAGTAAATTTAATTTAATTACTTGCGACTATTTTTATCGAGAGGATTTTTAAATGTTTAGTAATTATTGAAAGAGTATCAATCAATAACTTATTAAAGATACCTCACTTTGAAAATTTCAAAAAAATCTCTAAACAATAAAGTGTCTAGAAAATACGTTACTGTTATTAAGTTTATCGTAAAAGTAAAAAAGTCTGCAATTTCTTAATAAATACTTTTATTTCAAGAAAAATGTTAAAAAAAGACTAAAACTGAATTAGAAATTTTATTTTGTTGAGTTTTAAGGTTTGTGGACAGTAGTGAATTTGGTTATGAAAACATTTATTTACTTCTTTGTAAATGAAATTATGAAAAAAGGACATTTATATATTTTTAAATGTATAACCGTCTTTTTATACAGTGTAATCGTTTTATTGTGTAAAGCTTATTGAAAAATAAATACAATAATGCGAAATAAATTTTTGATTTGTTTAGTTACTAGTGAATCATGATTTATCAGTTATAAATCATTTTTAGAATTATTCCTTATAAATCTAAGAGGTGTTAATGAATTAACACCTTAAATGGGTGTCCACTTATGATATAAGGAATGATTGATAAAAGTAATTATTAGCTAATACATCAAAAATATTGTATGTAACTAAAAGAAATTAAAAATTAATTTTTCAATATTGTATTACTTAAGCGAGTAATCGAGTGGTCTATAATAAATCGATCACACAGTATATTATTGAATTTTTATAGGAAATTCTGTGGCCTACCTGCCTCTGATTCATTTCAAGGATTATCTGGTGCTATGCCAAATTCAACTGTTTCTCGATACCAGCAAATTTATGAGTAAGTTTTTAAATATTTATATTTGATACGTATATACTTTATAAAAAAATATAAATACTATGTTGTATGATTCTTTGATCGCAATTTATAGTTCACCTGATGACGTAGATTTGTGGTCTGGCGGTGTATCTGAAAAACCGTTACCAGGTAGTATGGCAGGTCCAGTATTCTCGTGCATATTGGCCACGCAGTTTAGCTACGCTAGAAGAGGTGATCGTTTTTGGTACGAATTGCCTAATCAACCTTCATCCTTCACACCGGGTACTAAACAAACTTTTAATTTTTAATCGAGATTTATCTCTAATCTGGCAATTATTTGTGTTTTAGAACAACTACATGAGATTCGAAAAACTAGATTATCTAGAGTAGTATGTGACAACACGGATCTAATAGATACGATCCAATTGTGGCCAATAGTTTTACCAGACCATGAATTGTAAGAATTTCGAAAAATTAGTTTTAATCAAGCTTATTACGTTTTAAACGCACAAAAAAAAAAAAAATCAAAATTTATATTGTTCTTATTGGGTATTTTAAACGATTTTAATTGTTTACTTATGTTTAAAACATGGTTTTTTTTAAACATATTTTTTAACAACCCTGATTTTAATATATCTTTGCTTATAATGGCAATTAAATTAAAAATATCTACTCGTGATTTTACAAAGATAATTTTATGAGCCTACATGAAACTTATATAGGTTGTACACAAATTCATTCTTGTAATAATTATCTATAATTTTTAAGTTCATGATTATTTTGAGTAGTATCATGATTTAGAAATTTAAATACAACTCTGGTCACTAGATTTGGAGTTTTTTATTTTTTATAAAATAAACTAGATATTAATGTACAAGACAATACAAATGTACTGTAGCTCAAAACTTTTGGAATGTCCTTTTGTGTCGAAACTAGGTAACATAAAAATAGAAGTATAGTAAAAAAATTATTATTCATGATTTTTGGAGTTATATATGAAACACTAAATAGGGTTATATGTTTAACGCATAGAATTACTTTGAACTATTAAAAATTTTATATTTTATTAAACTTTGTTAGTTATTTTACTTACTTACATTTGTTTAGGAATCCTCGAGTACCTTGTCGAAGCGGAATTTTACCATCAACTGATCTAACCAAATGGGCTGAAGTACCAAATTCACTTCCAAATACAGATCCTTTTATTTTTGACCATCCACCACCAGTAAATATATTTTAATGGAAAAAAATGTAATTAAAGATAATCAAACAACATTCAAAATGTAGTAGCTTATTATATGCTCAAATAGGCGTGAAAACCTCAAAAAAGTCCTAAGTTATTTTTTAAATTAAATAACTTAAATTATAAAACATTTGTGTCATTAGTCATAAAATTTTATATATTAGTACTTTCTTGAGTTTTAATGACTGGAAAAATCTATGTTAGAATGTTTACTTGGCTTGTAAAAATATTTAATTTTTGAATGTTTTCTTTATCATTGTAATTTTTGTGTTGTCTTAAACAATCAAAGTGTTTTACATGTTAAAACAAATGTTAACTTAATTATTGTTTAAATGTTATAATGTTATTTTATTAAATATGATTTTTATTTTTTGTATTTCATTTTAATATTTTGTTCAAATCCTATTTTATTTAACAAATCATATATTTTTTTTAATTGACAATTAATCAGTACTTCGTACAAAAACGGAATTCAGCAATATTTGGTTTTAAAATTTTAGGGACGTCGTGAAGTTTTAATACATTAAATTGCCATATTAGGACGAATCGGCCAGACTTTTATTGTAACTAATTAAAAAATTAAAACAAGCATAAAATAAAACTACGAATGAAACAATTTTTTCGAATACTTATGTTAAAAGCACTTTTGAACAAAAGAGTATTTAGCAAAAATTCGAATATAAATTGATTTGATTCATTGAGAGCTATCTCATAATAAATTAAGCAAATTTATTTTTAAACTATGATTATCGATATTTTATATTTATTGGTATATATTTTTTGCTATTCTTATTATTTATTTTCAGTGATGAAAAAATGATCAAAATTAATATCTACCGTTTTTAATATTTAGCCATGAATATATGACATATTTATTAGGATTTATACATTTTGAAATTAGTATATAATGAAATTATTAATCGATCAGCTTCCAAAACCAGTTCGAACGTTGACCTTTACTAGACCCTTTTTATGGGTGTCCTTCGATTAAATACAAAAAATAGCGTTCAAAAAATATTTCTTAGATAAATAATTGCATTTTCAGAGGAAGCAAATTCATGAATGATTCATACTCTTTAGTTAAAGCGTATCTTAGTTTATGGCCTCTGAAATTAAGTTATTATCGGGAAAAAGTCTCTCATAATTATTCAGAGATATCATAGAAATTATTTGTAATTTTACGTTTACTTGTAATTGATTTGAGAGTATGTGTATAATGTGTATTTGCAGTGATTCCACCAGTTATGTCGATTTTTAAAGCATTACCCTTATGTACCTCGATGAGCTTTTAATTATGCATAATTTTGAACAATTTTTGGTTTTCTTTTCTGTTCTCAAATGCCATAAGGAAAATTGAATTTAACGTATAATCACCGTTAACACTCCGATCTAAATACCAATAATATGCAATATTCAAGGCCAATAATTGTTGAAGTTTGTATCTTTTTACGCGACGACATAAACTCGGTTAGGGATGAGAGAGGTAGGGCAATGTAACCTTGACGAAAGCATAGAAGCACCCAGTATGTTTATAGCTAAACATGTTATAGCACTAGTTGTGTCCCGACGGTTCACTGCGAGTTTGCAGAAGTCACTGTCAATTGTACCGCACATTAGGGTAAGTCTTTTTTATATAAAAATATTTTTGTTTAAATATTCTTTTTTATTTAGTGTCAATTTATTAATTTACGGTTGGATATTTTCGTTTGCTACCACCCACGTTTACTAATAATTCATAAGCAAATAATTTATATTGTCATTGAGCAATAAAGTGAAATTGTCTTGGGACAATAGCTCTGAATTCATAATTGCCATTTTCAGAACGTTTAACATGTGCGCTCGCGTACAAGACTAGCGTTTTTAATTGTTTTGTTCCTTTGATGTCGGTTAGAAGGTATATAACATAATAAGATCACAGTAATACGCAATAAGGAATGTTTATAACCGACAATATCCGTACGTGCAGATGATTAAGCGGTTATTACACAATAAACACACAAAACGTAGCATTATGGTCATAATGTATAATTAAAGGGTAGAAATTAAGAAAAAAAAGTTTAAATCAAAAACTTTGTTTTATTTTACTAATAGTGTTTTCATTTATAAGACTAGATTGTTTATTTAATGGAATCAATGCATGTTATGTGACAACTATATTCCAGTTAAAAAGTATGAATGACAGGTGTACAATTTAAAGCAATCAAAAATGATTAATTTCTCATATTTAGGAATTAAAATAATATAATTGTACTAAAAAATAATAGTAAATATTTATTATTCATTATTTTTTCTTTAGTTGTTTCATTAAAAATTTATTGTAAATCTTGTTTGTAGTAATCATTATGATAAAAAAAGGGTAAAAATTAATGAAATATGTATTTTTTTCAATAATTTGTAGCTGGCTATTTCAAATAAATATTAATTCAGATTTACTAATTAATTAATTTTTTCCTTTAGTCCATGTAAAATATATTTTATATTTTGTAAGTGTATTAAAAATGTTACTATGTTATTCTAAAACGAAATATTTGAATGAGGATTTGAAACCGAAATAAATTTGGTTTTACGAACATTTTTACCATATCTAGTAAGTTAGTTGGCCTATATTGAATTTTCTTTTTTAAGAATTTGTTAGGTAGATGATTGCAGAAACTGAAACTATTATCAAATTTCTTTTAAAACCTTAAACAATCTAAAAGTTAGACCATACAAAGCTTAAATATTGAAATTAGTCGATATATTATATTCAGTTAATTTTGGTTTTAAACTTTTAAAATGTTAAGCTCAACTAACTTTTTAAAGGCGTTCTTGTTATATTTTTTAGTTCTATAATTATTTTTTAAACATGTTCTAAAGAATATACGATACACATGATCTTATTAACTGTATACAAGAAAAATTGTCAAAAATCTAAATTATTTTGGTTTGAAGCCCTGATTTGAATAGAGTACTTGATTAGATGTGTATAAATAGTAGAATATCTCACTTTTTTCAATATATCTAAGTATAAATTCTATATAGGCGACTAAGCTAAAGACAAAGCATTATCCCCGTTGACTTTAAAAGCTTATGATTAAGACTGATGATATTAGTAAATTATAAAACAGAAATAGATTTACTTAATTGGATGACTTTTTGGTTATAATTAAATTGATTGATTTTTAATTGTTACGCCATTAAATTAAAACGTAAATTAACTAAAATGGCTTCTTATCTTGTCTAAAATAAATATTAAAACTACCGGTTGGCGTATTCCTATTTTCAAGGATTTTATTAGTAATTTTATATATTTGTATAATAGTAATTAAAATATTCGTTCATTAGACAATATTACACACAGTTATTAAATGGCGCCAAACAGGTTTAAAATTTTACAAGTTTTTTTATTTGTTTGAAATTTTGTAAAAATACTTCAACAAATTAAAAACTGATAATTGACCATTTATATTGGCTGATTAAGTTGATGAAAACATATTTCTACAATTTAACTTACGTTAGGTACATCCAAAATGAGTTTTTTCTAGAATATCCTTTTAGTTAAAATACATAATTGATTTTTACGATAGCACAAAACATTTATCTAATTTCATGTTTGCAGAAAAAATAAATATAATTTAAAATTAGATACAAGTGTTTAATTTTTATTCTATAAATAAATATAAACTAATTGTTGATTCTTATTTTTGTCACCAAACACATTAGAATTGCATACACACAACGCCGTCTTACCCAAATTAAACTAAAATTACCTTTTTTAAACGGCACCGTAAAATATATGTTTTAATGTATGTTATAAAACAATTAACTCGAGTTAATTTTATAAATCTAGATTGTTATAAGTTCTTAATTTATACGCGCACTTTGTGATCCGTCAATAAACATTACTTAGCGTGTACATACATCTGAGTCGAGAGACTTCAATTTGATTTAAGTACAAAGAGTATCTTAAGTCCGACGCCCACCTTACGGGGTCGTCGTTGATTGACAGCGTACGGTGAAAGTAAAAAAAAATTATGCTTTTTTTTTTTTAACGATTTCCACTAATATAATAAAATGACCTCCAAGGTCGTGCAGCGTCCGGCGCCGACCGCCACTGGTTGCATAATTGCGATCACATATAGAATCAAAGTCTATTAAAAAACGATACTTGTAACCCTCGGTCACGCTGGTTGCACCCACAGTATAATAGCAGGTAAACGTCGTCAAAAGCTCATTGATACCGTTGCGCAAGAACGGCGTGGCCGAGTGGTTACAGTGATCACTATGTATTGTTACAACAAACACGGGAGCGACTGAGACCTGTAACATGTAATGGGGTAGCGTGGTCGACAGTGCAGCCGTGAAAGTCACATAAGCACCGCAAATGATCGTAACGTCCTCACAATAATTGTATTTACGAGCGAATTCATCGTAAAGGATTTCAAAAATTCATTATTAATGTGTTTTCATGTTTTGAGACTTTTCAAGGACTCGAGTGACCTTTCTCCGACGACATTTCCAGCCGAGTCTATGTATACCGATGATATGTGTCCGAGGTACATTCTTTTCCATCGTACGGTTCAATTTTTTCCCTAAAATCCGTACAGAGTTCTACGCGTTGGAGAACCTCGTCCCGAGCCTTGGTCATCGACCGGAGGCCGTCAAAATTTCATAGTTATTCTATCTGTTTGGTGTTGTTTATTGTTCGCTGTAATAGTGCATTAAGATCTATAGAATGATTAAGCGTGACTGTATAATAAAAACACTGGACGATATTAGTAAAATATTTTTTTGGACTCGAGAGGTGTGTCAAAACGAATCGAGTGAATTTTGCGGAGAGTTGGCACGTGGGTAATTATCCGTGTCCTATAAGATTCTAAATATAAATTTAGATTTGTTAGTTCGTGTTAATACTTGCTTGACAAAGAAATCCTGTAATTATAATGTTGGTGGCGGACGTGTAAAATATTTGGGTTTTATTTTCGACATGTACCGAGGAATAACCGGCCTGTGACTCAACAATCGGATTTTCCTATTGGTATTCTGTGCAATGTTTGTGTTTCACGTTGTAGTACGATGGACGCAGTTTAAATTACCAGTTTGGCGTTGAAACGTAAATTTGATAAATGTTTAATTTGTGTGTTTATCAATGTCAAGAGTAGTATGGAAAACCAAAGTCTAAAACCGAATTCGGTGGGTTACGCGATGACGTCCATGATGTATTTTTTCAACATTATTCGTTTAATCTCAAATGATTTTTAATAATCATCGTTGATCCGACGACGTACACGTATAAATCGTGTATCTAGATCGTAAACGCCCGTTATGGGAGGTGGTCGTATAAACCCATTCGGTTTTTTTATAAATGCGATGTATTTTAAATGTTATGCGGTAGAA